GCAATGAATTCCAAACTATCTAATATGGGCGATGCTGGGTCACAATTCTTTCTCCCTGCCCCCAAATGCTGTAGTCAATGGACTAATACTTTGATTAATAATGGGATATTCAAAAAAGATAGGATCAGACCTTCAGTATTAATCTGTAATTAAGACTTTTCTGGTACCTTTATATCTTTAACCACATGAAAGAGAGTATTCTTTTTAATGTGTGATTATTATAAGTTTGATTTCTAGAATTCTATTTAAGAATAAAATCTGCACTGAAGCAATTTCAAAAGGTTTTTTCCCCATAATACAAGATTCACTGAACCTAGTAGATTCCTCCTCATTCAGGCAAGTGAAACATTCAAGCACCTCTTGTGTTTGAACTTATCTGATGGGGGCAGGGGGAGATGGACTAATTAGTAGCTAAGCCTGAGAAGACACGGAAAATGATAGGTAATGAGGCTGAAGATGAGCATAAATTATGTGAAGCTTATATATGTAAGATGGAAGCATGTTTTTAAAAATACTAAATGCCACATGAGGATGCTTTTGAAGGAGGGGCTTCAGTCAAGGGAGGGAAAAATTAACCTTCAAAGCGTGACCCAGTTTTGCATATTAGGCTTTTTAATAAGCCTCCACTTCCATCAGTGGAAGCTTTTTCAAAGCATTATTTCTCCCAAAGAGCCTGCAGATCTGAGGAGGGAAGATGAGAAAGAGAGCAAGTGAACATGAGGCATAAAAGAAGCACACAACATGTGTGCGAGTTACTTCTGATTTTCACTGAGGCATAAAAGAAGCACACAACATGTGTGCGAGTTACTTCTGATTTTCACTGAGGCAGTGAGATCCTTACCCTGAAGAACTGCATTTGGCTCCTAATTCTGGCATTACCATTACGCAGTTTAACGTATAAAGCATACTTGCCATTGCTTTAGTCCTAGTTTGTTACCAAAAACCATTTCTAGACAGAGGTTATTGGAAAGTTTAGAAGCAAGACATGACAGTATCAGGGGCAGATAACAAGAGACAGACTTGCTTGGCAGTTACAGCAGACAATCACCTACCCTCTGTAAGACTGTCTAACTTTTTTTCAAAGTCACCTAGAATTAGTCATCATATAGGTGCATTCACAGTTGAATTGTGTTCAGGGGATGATTTCCTCTTGTCTGTCCTGAAGAACAATGAATATCTCAAGTATTAATATTAGGAAAAAATATCTTGACTCAACACTGGCCAAGATTATTATGATGGTGCAAGAAGCTGTGTATGGATCAACGGCCTATCAAAAACAGATAAAAGCAACAAACCTGCACTTCAGCACAAGAGGGTCATGGCATTCAGGTATGTCTGAACATAGTAAAAAGAATGAAGTTAAATCAGATGTCTAAGCAGGACAATATTCTGCTCAATCCTTGACAGACTAGTGGGAAGTAGGCTATGAGTACGACTGCATTGTCCTAGTTAATGCTTTGCAGCAGTGAAGACCCAGCCATACTGTTTCTAAGGCTGGAGAGAAATATAGAATGTCTGCAGGGGATAGATGCCTGGAACTGTGGATAATAGCAAACCCTATATTTTGACTACAATTGAGCAAGAAGCAGACCATGGAATCACATTGGAGGACCTGGAGAGGCCCACAAACATTTTCAAGAGAAAATGTTTTTAGAAAATGTGTAAGTGAAACCATGGGTATTGAATCCGTGAATAAGGGGGTCATATTGCATATCTAATGTGACTAACAGCCAATGGTAGCTTCATGCTTCACAAACTTACACAATCCTCTTTTAAGGCCTTCCAAGTTGTAAGGCAGAACTACTTTTGCATTAGCAAAGGCAACGATATAAACAAAACTGTTACAGCAGGTAACATGTCATGACACCAAGTTAGGAATGGAAGTCGCAGAACAAGACAGCTATTAACTAATGATTTGGTGAGGTAATGTGGAAAGCAGAGCATTACCTGACACGCCAACAGTGTAATTGTTGGCGTGTCAGGCTAGGATCTTTTTTATTTGACACGACTATACCACTTTGCTTCCTGCTTAACTGCATACTACAGAATCTTGGGATTTGTAGATTGAGAGGCACAAGAATTCTTTGGCAAAGAAGTCTAAATATCTCATGAATTTTCAAATCCCAGTATTGCATAGGATGGAGCCAGGACACTTAAAGCAGTATTAAAATGCTACAACTATGTAGTATGAGAGACCGAAAAGAATAGGGTTCATATAATAAAGCTCACTGGGTCACTTTGGATTGCTCACTCTTCCAGCTTAATACTTGATTAGGCTGATATATGAAAAGAAATGAGGAGGGAAGGAAAAATCTTGTTACTCAGTAACTAGGCTGATTAGTAATTTTTATTCAGTTACAAGGAAGAAAGGTTGCGATTGCTCCAAAAGTTCTCGTGTGTGTGTGCATGCATGTACTGTTCAATCGCCTATTGATTTATGTTTGCCCCATAAATTTGACAGGGTTTCCTAAGGCAAGGAAAAATAAAATGTGGTTTTCAGTTCCTTTCTCTGAAATATAGCCTACAGTGCCTGGTATTTCTTGATTGTCTGTCATCCAAATACTCATCAAAGCTTACCCAGCTTCACTTCAGAGATTAGACAGAATCTGGTGCCTTTAGAGAATTGGTTCCCAAATTCTGATCCTCCAGGTGTTTTGGAAGTGAACTCCCAGAAAGTCCCAGCCAGCTTTGACAACACTCAGAAATTCTGAGCAAATAAAGTCCAAAGTTTTGAGAAGACCAAAACATTGGTTGATAAGACAGATGTATGATCTCAAAAAATTGAGGATCCATATTTATGGATGAGAATGACCAAACATGTTTCCCAAATCCTACCTCTTAAACCAGGTGTTGCCCCAATCAAAGAGTTGACTTCTAATAAAGATTTGTGTGTAATATGCCTTCAAATCTCCTGCAGACTTAAGCTGATCTCATGAATTTCACAGGGTTTTCTTAGGCAAATGTGTTTTTTAGGGCCCCCTGGTGGTGTAGCAGGTCTTTTTTCGTGTGAGGAGAAACTTGAGAAACTATACGTCACTTCTGATGTGAGAGAATTGGCCGTCTGCAAAGACATTGCCCAGGGGACACCCGGATGTTTGATGTTTTACTATCGTGTGGGAGGCTTCTCTCATGTCCCAGCATGGGGAGCTAGAGCTGAGACAGAGCTCACCCTGCTCCCTGGATTTGAAACATCAACCTGTCAGTCAACAGTTCTTCCAGCACAAGGATTTAACTCATTGTGCCACTGGGGGTTAAACTGCTGAGCTGCTGAACTTGCTGACCAAAAGGCTGGTGGTTCGAATCCAGGGAGTGGGGTGAATTTTGGCTGTTAGGCCCAGCGTTTCCAACCTAGAAGTTCAAAAACATGAAATTACGAGTAAATCAATAAGGGAAGGGAATTGCGCTCCATGCAGTCTTGCTGGCCAGATGACCTTGGAGGTGTCTATGAACAACACCAGCTCTTCGGCTTAGAAACTGAGATGAGAACCACCCCCTAGAGCAGTGGTTCTCAATCTGTGGGTCCCCAGGTGTTTTGGCCTACAACTCCCAGAAATCCCAGCCAGTTTACCAGCTGTTAGGATTTCTGGGAGTTGAAGGCCAAAATAATCTGGGGGCTCACAGGTTGAGAACCACTGCACTAGAGTCAGGCATGACTAGATTGAATGTCAGAGAAAACCTTTACCTCTGAAATGTAGCCAACAGCATTTGGTATCCATCAGCACTTAAGTACCAACCAGGCCTGGCTGTATGTAGCTTCCAAGACCACATGAAGTCCGGTGCTTTCAGGGTATTCAGGTGTAAGACAAGAGGTATGCTCTCATAATTTTGGGAAGTCATGTTTACTAATGACTAACAGGAGTCTCAAATCCTAAATCTTAAACCTGGCAGTGCCCCAGCCAAAGAGTTGCCTTCTGGTAAAGATTTGTATATAATGCGCTTTCAAGTCTTCTGTCAAGTTATAGTGACCCCATGAATTTCATTGGATTTTCTTAGGTAAGGAATACTCAGATGTAGTTTTGCCAGTTCTTTTCTTTTAAATATATCTCATGCGAGAGTTTCCCTTACTTGGGTCTTCCAGGAGTTTTGGACTTCAGTTCCCAGAAACCCCACTCATTGGCCAACACAGCTGAGGCTTCTGGGTGCTGAAGTCCAAAACACCCGGAGGACTAGAGTTTGGAAGTCAATGACCTACCTCAGTGGTTCTCAACCTATGGGTCCCCAGATGTTTTGGCCTTCAACTTCCAGAAATCCTAACAGCTGGTAAACTGACTGGGATTTCTGGGAGTTGTAGGCCAAAACAGGGAGAAAATGTGGAGGCCGTGACAGACTTTGTATTTCTAGGTGCAAAGATTACTGCAGATGCAGACTGTAGCCAGGAAATCAGAAGACGCTTACTTCTTGGGAGGAGAGCAATCTCGATAAAATAGTAAAGAGTAGAGACATCAGACTGGCAATAAAGATCCGCCTAGTCAAAGCCATGGTATTCCCTGTAGTAACCTACGGATGTGAGAGCTGGACCTTAGGGAAGGCTGAGCGAAAGAAGATTGATGCTTTTGAGCTGTGGTGCTGGAGGAAAGTTCTGAGAGTGCCTTGGACTGCGAGAAGATCCAACCAGTCTGTCCTCCAGGAAATAAAGCCTGACTGCTCATTGGAGGGAAGAATACTAGAGACAAAGTTGAAGTACTTTGCCCACATCATGAGGAGACAGCAAAGCCTAGAGAAGACAATTATGCTGGGGAAAGTGGAAGGTAAAAGGAAGAGGGGCCGACCAAGGGCAAGATGGATGGATGTCATCCTTGAAGTGACTGGACTGACCTTGAAGGAGCTGGGGATGGTGACAGCCGACAGGGAGCTCTGGCGTGGGCTGGTCCATGAGGTCACGAAGAGTCGGAGACGACTGAACGAACGAACGAACAACAACCGGTTGTTAGGAATTGTGGGAATTGAAATCCAACACACCTGGGGAGCCTAAAGTTGCCCAAGTATGATTTAAGGCCTACCTTACTTCAGCCACCAGCAACCAGGATATCGATACTTTCGCATCTTTCCTTCTGGCGAAACACCGGCATAGTGACGAGGCGGACCACGAAAAATGTCGCAAACATCCGGTCTAAGACAGGAAGCTGACAAGAAAGGTAAATATAAATACAGCAATGGTGGGAGCGACGCGACAGAGAAGACTTAAAGAAGTAGAGACACTTGTTGTTGCTGTGTACATTCAGAAAGAAATGTTGTTGCTCTTGTGCGCCTTGAAATCCTTCCCTCCTTAGGGCGAAACTATCACAGGTTTATTTTTAGCGTGGCCCTCAAAAAGGATAGACTCTCTGACTGTGATAAAAAAAATGTCACCGGAAGTCCATCTTCCCCTTTTCTGTTCATAGCTCTATGAGCAAAGAAACGCACGCGCGCTTGTCACCATGCAAACAACGTGCGTTGATTCCGATTGGTTGTTTCTTTCGGGCATAATAGTGACGTCAGAGGAAGGTGCTACCTCTAAATTCCGTATTCGGTTCTCCCTAGTCATTGGTTGTCGTGCGTCACGAGGACGAGTCTGATGGCGGCGTTACGTTTTATTCCTCAAAGGTGATTGGCTCAAAGGTGACGCACGGCGTCAACCCGTAACAAAGATGGCAGTAGGCTGAAAAAAGGGCTGCTGTTCGTTGTCATAACGGAGTGTGGCGCACTAGGAAAGGTTTCCTGTCAGAAGAGAAGGGGCGAGGACGGTGCTGCGGGATGTCCGTCTTCCACGACGAAGTCGAGATCGAGGACTTCGAGTACGATGAGGAGACGGAGACCTACAGCTACCCCTGTCCCTGCGGGGACCGCTTCCTCGTCACGCGGGTGAGGGCCGCCGTTAGTTAGTCAGTCAGTCATTTATTTCTACTGTTTAGGCCAGGCTTGGGCAAACTTGGGCCCTCCAGGTGTTTTGGACTTCAACTCCCACTATTCCTAACAGCCTCAGGCCCTTTCTTTTTTTCCCCCTCAGCCGTACGGCTGAGAGGGGGGGGGGAGGAAGGGCCTGAGGCTGTTAGAAATAGTGGGAGTTGAAGTCCAAAACACCTGGAGGGCCCAAGTTTGCCCAGGCCCGGCCTAGGCCCAGATGGGTCCCAGAACGCGTTGAATCATTTAGGAGGAAGCCCTGACAGCTATGGTAAGGCCCACTTTTAAATTCATACATTTTGGGGCAAAACTATGATAGCTGCGTCCCAATGCTGGTTGCGCAATGTGATGGCACGCCGGGGTAGAAGGAAAACTATATGTCTGCCTATACCCGGTGGCTATCGGCATACCCTCTGATGTACTTCAGTTCTTTTAAAAGTAAAGACTCTTGAGACAGGATTAAAGTTAACCAAGTAAGTTTACTGGAAACAAAAGGCAAAGTTAACTTCAGTCAGAGTTCTTGAAAGGCGAATCAAAAGAAAATATTACAAAAACAAAGTTTGTTGATTGAATTTGGTTACACTGGTAATAAACACTTGACTATATTCGTAGAATATGAGGTAAAATAGTAGACTATAATTGTGGTAAGTTTCTTCGTAAAATACTTGGCTATATTGGCTACAGTAAGGTACTTGGCTATTGATAGAAACAGAACTAAAATGGTAAAGTTAAGATCTATAACAGCTAAATGGAAAAGGTACAAGCTAGATTGATATAAGGTAAATACACAGCTATGACTATCAGTACTAGCTATGCTGATGGTATAGTACCAGTTATGGTGACTGTGAGGTATATACTGTAATGATGGCTGTATGGTAAATACTGTTGTTGTTGTTCATTCGTTCAGTCGTCTCCGACTCTTCGTGACCTCATGGACCAGCCCACGCCAGAGCTCCCTGTTTGCCGTCACCACCCCCAGCTCCTTCAAGGTCAAGTCAGTCACTTCAAGGATGCCATCCATCCATCTTGCCCTTGGTCGGCCCCTCTTCCTTTTTCCTTCCATTTTCCCCAGCATAATTGTCTTCTCTAAGCTTTCCTGTCTTCTCATGATGTGGCCAAAGTACTTCATCTTTGCCTCTACTATCCTTCCCTCCAATTAGCAGTCGGACTTTATTTCCTGGAGGATGGACTGGTTGGATCTTCTCGCAGTCCAAGGCACTCTCAGAACTTTCCTCCAACACCACAGCTCAAAAGCATCTATCTTCCTTCACTCAGCCTTCCCTAAGGTCCAGCTCTCACATCCGTAGGTTACTACAGGGAATACCATGGCTTTGACTAGGCGGATCTTTGTTGCCAGTCTGATGTCTCTACTCTTTACTATTTTATCGAGACTGGACATTGCTCTCCTCCCAAGAAGTAAGCGTCTTCTGATTTCCTGGCTACAGTCTGCATCTGCAGTAATCTTTGCACCTAGAAATACAAAGTCTGTCACGGCCTCCACGGTTTCTCCTTCTATTTTCCAGTTGTCAATCTTTCTTGTTTTTTTGTACGTTTAGCTGCAACCCGGCCGCCCCCATGTTTTCTCCCTCTATTCCCCAGTTGTCAATCATTCTTGTCGCCATAATCTTGGTTTTTTTGACGTTTAGCTGCAACCCGGCTTTTGCGCTTTCTTCTTTCACCTTGCTTAGAAGGCTCCTCAGCTCCTCCTCGCTTTCGGCCATCAGAGTGGTGTCATCTGCATATCTGAGGTTGTTAATGTTTCTTCCAGCAATTTTCACCCCAGCTTTGCATTCATCCAGCCCCGCACATCGCATGATGTGTTCTGCATACAAGTTAAAAAGGTTGGGTGAGAGGATGCAGCCTTGCCGTACGCCTTTCCCAATCTTGAACCACTCTGTTGTTCCATGGTCAGTTCTTACTGTTGCTACTTGGTCCTTGTACAGATTCCTCAGGAGAGAGACAAGGTGGCTTGGGATGCCCATCCCACTAAGAACTTGCCACAATTTATTATGATCCACACAGTCAAAGGCTTTAGAATAGTCAATGAAGCAGAAGTAGATGTTTTTCTGAAACTCCCTGCCTTTCTCCATTATCCAGCGGATATTGGCAATTTTGTCTCTCGTTCCTCTACCTTTTCTAAACCCAGCTTGAACATCTGGCAACTCTCGCTCCATGTATTGCTGGAGTCTTCCTTGCAGGATCTTGAGCATTCCCTTACTGGCATGAGAAATAAGGGCCACTGTACGGAAGTTTGAGCAGTCTTTCGCATTTCCCTTTTTTGGTATGGGGATATAAGTTGATTTTTTCCAGTCTGATGGCCATTCTTGTGTTTTCCATATTTGCTGGCAAATGGCATGCATCAAATTGACAGCATCATCTTTTAAGATTTTAAACAGTTCAGCTGGGATCCCGTCGTCTCCTGCTGCCTTGTTGTTAGCAATGCTTCTTAAGGCCCATTCAACCTCACTCCTCAGGATGTCTGGTTCTAATTCATTCACCACACCGTCAAAACTATCCTCAATATTATTATCCTTCCTATACAGATCTTCTGTATAGTCTCGCCACCTTCTCTTGATCTCTTCAGCTTCTGTTAGGTCCCTGCCATCTTTGTTTCTTATAATACCAATTTTTGCCTGAAATTTACCTCCAATGTTTCTAATTTTCTGGAAGAGGTCTCTTGTCCTTCCTATTCTGTTGTCTTCTTCCACTTCCATGCATTGCTTATTTAAATAGTTCCTTATCTCTTCTGGCTAACCTCTGGAATTGCGCATTTAACTGGGCATATCTCCCCTTATCCCTGTTTCCTTTTGCTTTCCTCCTTTCTTGGGCTACTTCCAGTGTCTCAGCAGACAACCATTTTGCCTTCTTGGTTTTCTTTTTCTTTGGGACGTACTTTGTTGCCGCCTCCTGAACAATGTCTCGGACTTCTGTCCATAGTTCTTCTGGGACTCTTGTTTACTAAATCTAGTCCTTCAAATCTGTTCTTCACTTCCACTGTATATTCGCTAGGAATGTTAGTGAGATCATATCTAACTAACTACTACTGTAAATACTGTAAATACTGTAATGATGATATAAATACAAAGCTATAAGGTATATACAGCTATGAGGGTCTATGAGGTATGTACAGCTGGTAAATACTATAGTGATGGTTCAGAATTAGAGAAGCGAAGACGTGCACGACACAGCATTAAGTTTATAGCACGCTTCATCCACATGTAGTTAAGTTTGAGTGATAGCGAAGAATTGTAAAAAAAAACCCGGCAGTTAGCAGTAGTTTATAGCACGCACCAGCATCTCACTCGCTGTGCGAGTGTAATTCTAACCCACGTTATACAACCAACATTGGGTCCCAGCTCTCATACTTTTGCCCATTTGGGTACCTCTTTTAACTGCCATGGCTAGGGGATCATTGGAGTTGTAGTTTGATCAGGCAGCTGTATTTGTTAGCAAATCTATGGTTAAAACAATTCCTTATAAGAGATATGGACACATACATAAATTGTAACAACAGAATGTATAGGGACACAACATATTTCATGAAAACCTTTGATTTCTTAAATGTGTATGATTTATTGCTTATTTCACATAGACTCAAAGGCTTCTTGTTACATACACTCAACACACATATACATTGCAGCCAACACACGAACCTGTTGCCACACACACACAGAGTTTGGAAGGCTCTGCCCTAAAGGCAGCAAATCCTGTGTGAACTTGGAATCCAAGTTGAGTCAGCTCTGGCTACTCCTTGTATGGGAATCCACCATCACAGAACAGGCAATATTTCAGAGGAAGGGACTTGGGAGTATTCCTTGCCTAATAAAACCCTGTGGAATCCACAGGGTTGCCATACATTGACAGGAGACCTGAAGACACATTACATGCAAACAGCTTGTAAAGAAGCCTGAGAGGGAAAATGAGAGCCATGTTTAAATGTCTGAAAACAATATCACATTGAGAAGGGGGCAAGCTTGTTCTTTGCTGCTCAGGAGGCCAGGGCACAATGGATTTAAATTCCAGGAGAAAACATTCCACCTAAATGTTAGGATGAACTTCCTGACAATTGCAACTGCTCAGCAGTGGAATATGCTGCCTCAAAAGATAGAGTTCCCTTCTCTGGAGGTTTTAAAGCAAAAGCTGGATGGCCATCTGTCAGGAGTACTTATATTGTGTATTCCTGCATGGCAGGAGATTGGACTGGGTGGCCCTTATGGTGTCTTCCAGCCCTTGTGATTCTTTATTAGAAGCCATCTCTTCAGTTGGGCAGGACTTGGTGGTCATGTTTGGTCATTATCTATGATAAACATGAATCCCAAAAATTATGTGATGCAGTATTGGGCTTATTTTTTTTCTCACCTAAGAAAACCCTATGAAATTCATGGAGTTGTAATAAGTTAACTGGTGACTCAAGGACACATATGGTTGGAGTGTGATAACTCACTGTGTCACCCTATGGACAAAACCATGGGATTCAAAATTAATAATGATTACTTCTGATTGGTAGAGATGCATATTGGAAGGTTCATTTGCATACTTTTGCAAACTGGACTTTTTGTGGTTATATCTCATAGTAATTATAGCTTTATTAATAATATTTTATTTTTAAAAATCTGAACACTGCAGAAAATGTATCGTTCATTTTTGTTGTCACACACACCCTGATAGCATCATCCACTGCAGTTCAACCATCCCTAATGACCCACACAATTATTTCTGAGATTGAGTCACTTGCCAGCCCTTTTTAGATGCTCCTGGTGCCTCAGAGCCTGATATAGAAAGAAATTTACTGTCTTTCACACAATACACTATTGAATCCGCTACCACAGGATGTCCTAATGAATACCAATTAGATTTTTTTATCAGGAGCTAAGAGTGCATCTACACTGTAGAACTAATGCTGTTTGACCCCACTTTACCATGGCTCAATGCTATGGAATCCTGGGAGTTGATACAAACCAGGACACACTCAGCTCTTTAAGGCACAATTGGTGAAATGGTTTGGGATCATTTAATTGATAGGCTGGCTATGGCCTTGCGTTGTCCAGAGAATTATTTTTTTCTTGTGTGTCATTGCAGGAAGATCTTGAAAATGGCGAAGATGTGGCCACATGTCCAAGTTGTTCACTCATTGTAAAAGTAATCTATGACAAGGTGAGGACAAAGCAGGTTGCATATGTGAGCTTGACTTGGGCTAGGTTCACATTTAAAGAAATACTTATGCAGGTAGTTTATTTCTTTTGGAAAAACATTTTGATTCCCCTCTTTTGCACAGTTTTATATATTGGAAGACTACTAGAATTAAATTAATAGTGTTCTTTATGCTTTTAGTATGGTGCAGATATGCAGATTATGTCATATGTCGGGTCATCATAGGTTGTTGCATTGATAACATAACTAACTTTTCATAATGATTTTATTGAAACCAAAATTTTACTATCTCTGAATCTAAACCACTGGCTTTAATCTTCAAGGTATTTCATTTATTTTTCAGTATATGTTATGAATATCCATATATTTTGGTGACATGCTTCTTGGTAAAAACACAAAATAAACACACTTTTTGTAAATCAGTTCAGTGGAATTTAAAGTCAAATAACTATGGGTGTGCAGGTTTATAGATTAATTTTTTTTCCTGAAAGTCACATTTCTCATTATCATAACATTTGCATATTAAACAAATGTTACACCTTATTACTGCCAGCTTGTGTTACTTAATCATTTTGAAAACAGCAGTTTTCTCATAAAGCTTGTTTTTTGGCTTCTGAGTGTCAATAGTTACTAGAAAAACGTATGAATGCTTTTTTTCTCTTCTTTTAGGAACAGTTCATGTGTGGTGAAGAAATCGCAGCACCCACAACGAACAAGGAGCTGGTGAAATGCTGATGGTTGTTTGATAAAACTTGGGTCTTCTTGCAAAATGTGGCAATGTTTAAACACAAAACTCAAGGACACCTATTTGGAAGACTCTGTTCTTACAGTGGTTGGTTGCTTTTCAATAACTGCCTCTGCTCCCATCAGAGAACTGATGTTCCAAAACCCTGGATGTTCTTGTGTGCCCAAGAATTTTCAAATATTAAAGTTACAGCATAATATTTCAAGTGTCAGACTAAAAACACAGACAAAGGTATCATGAATATTTTTTTTCCAAATGGAGCAATCCTTGCAAATCATCACTGTTTAAAGACTCTTGGATTCCACCTGGAAATGTGCAGAGTATTTACCGTGGGGTCTTATAATAAGACAAAGAAGATAATCTTCCATACTGATGTGCTATATTTGTTGAAATTGTATTTACTCTAGTTCATCGTATAATAGTCACACTCCTGTTTTTTGAAGGGGAAGAAAAGTGGAAAAATATGACTTATGCGATGAAATATAGGTATATTGATTCACCTATTCATCTTTCTTGCACAGTGCCAACTTGTGTTGCCTAGGCAATTCCATTAGTTTATTTTGACATTATATAGTTTTATTATTTTGACATTTGTGTTGTTGGACTATTGTGAACAAATGAAAGCTGACTTAATATTTTCAGTGTGCCAAATCTGTATGGACTCTGAGGTTCAGAGGAATTTGAGCTTTTAAGTGGGCTTAACTCAGTATAAATTTGAATGCTTATTTCTTAGGATTTCATACCAGTCAGGGTTTGTAGCAACCTAAGTTGTATTTCAATTACAATGGCTTTCCAATTTGAGTAATTTATTTCTGTAAGACTTTGCAGAGTGAATGTTTGTACAGTCTCATCTGCATTAATGTTTGTATTAGAACTTGCACAAAGTTCACTGAGTCTATTTTTAGGAGTGTCATAATTTCACTCAAAAATCACCATGTTGTCAAATTATTTAACTGGCTATTCAGTTTTCAGTAATTGACTTTTGATGCACTAGTCTATTCAACTCCAAACATTCAGACTTATAGTCTGATTTTATTTTTCTAGACTTGGAATTCATGAAGAAATGTAAACCTATTTCATTTTCAGGGGTCTCCCCCATTAACTAGTATTTAATAACAATCAGTCTGCTTAACTTGCTCTTGGACAGAATGACAGCACATGTTTATGTGATTTTTGAGATCTAGCACTGACCAACAGTTTATCATCATGTAAATAATTTTTTTGTTTAAATCCATTTTTAAACAGTTAATGGCCAATAAGATGGCACCAAAATTGGGGTTCATATCAATATTTGTAGAACGCTTGAATTGCAAATATTTATTTTGCCTTTTAAATTAAAAGGTGAGTTTTTAAACTCTTGTAGAAGGTTTTATTCTCCCTTTACTGGAATGACAGTAATGTTTTGTGAAATCTTATACTACATTTTTTTTTCTGATCACAAAATTCAGAATCTTTTCTGTGTCAGTTGCCACAATACCTGTTGCATCATCTGGCTTTTAGTGTACATATCCCTAAAATGTCATGCTGATACACTGACCTGTAAAATCAGGTCATGTAGAACTATTGAGTAAGTTAATTTACGGACTTGCTGTGTTGGCAGTAAAGCGGATAAATTTGTACTCTCCATCTAAATGTCCTTTATGTATTTTTTTTAAAAAACTTATTTGAACACCAAAATAATGTGATAGAATAGTCCTCTGGTATGACGCTCATAAAAACAGATAAAGTTTGCACTCTGCATCCACATATACAACAAGAAATGATTTGAAAATATTCCTCCATCAGAAAAATTAAATAAGCTATGTTGCTATTTTTTATAATTTATTGCATCATTGTATATAACGGGACTTGGACATCCAAACATTTAAGTATCCTCAGTGGGTGTGGTGGCACGTGGTTCTGGACTCAAGCCCCAATGGATACCAAGAACCCATTGTATATGTTTTTCTCTTGCGACATGTTGGACTGTATGTGGATTTTTTTTACCAAACATTACAATCCTGTAATAATGTAGCTATAGATTGGTAACTAGAGAGGCTAGTGAACCAGTCTTATTTATTCATAAGGCACCTAAAGCTGAGTGGCACTGCACACTGTCTGAAAGAAATCCAAATTTTGAGTGTGATAGTGGAAGATTGGCTTGGGCTTTTTTTAAAAACTTTTGACATAATCCAAAATCAGATGTGGCTGGTACTACTGGAAATAATGACACCATAAGTATAAGAAAACTAGAGAAAACAAAACCTGTGTGTTTAATACCCACTCTAAATATTTCAATGATGGTTGAGCATCTGTATATATATTCCAAGGAACTCAATAGACACATTCTGTACAGCAGGACCATTTTAAAATGTTGCCATGGTTATATTCTTATAAAACCTCGTTGGCTCCTTATGTAATGCTGGTACACTTTCAGTAGAAAAAAGTGTATCTTTCGTACAGAGAAAGCAGATTTCAGTGTACAAATGCAAGCTAAAAGTGAATTAAATTTGTTCTTGTAACACTCACAAGAACATCCCATGTTGGATATACAGAAACAGAAAAAAACACTCACTTAAACAGGTGCCTTATTTGTTTTAGAAAGACTTCATATATTATAAAAGAGGCTTGGAAAACTGTAGTGGAAGCTGGCTCATAGTGTTACTTGTAACATAGGAAATGCAGAATAAAACTCAATGTTCTTCCCAAAGGGTGATGTGAGAGCCTGCCCAATTAAGCCAAACTTCATTTGGTGGTGCTATCTGCCAACCCCTCGCAGATTTCCACACAGAACAGAGACCACCCAAATGTAGAATTTCCACTCCGGAAGGCCAAGTTTTCCTTGCTCACTTTGAAAAGAATTGCTGTTAAGACTGTGTCCTTGGTTTCTTTCCATACAAAATAAAACATGTACGTACTTAGTCTCACTCACATCCCCCCTTTTTCTTTCAGCAGCACCTGCAAAAATAGAAGTCTGCTTCTGATAAATGAATCAAAGATTTTGTGATCAACAATATAAACATTTTACAGATCACCTTGAACTATTGACATACCACAAGTTGAGAAATATGAAACTTGGCACTCACAATAGGATTGGCTTAAATCAGGAATACTTCAAACTTATATTTACATTAATTGAGAGCAACCTCAGCGTAGAAGTTTTCCAGGACATTTAGTCTCCGTATTTGAAGTTATACTGGCAGTAAGATTTCATCAGCTTTTTTGCCACATGTAAGTATTTGGATTTTATTCCTCCCAATCCTATTTCCTTTAGGCTTAGTGGCAAACAAAAATTTGCAAAAGAAAATATTACTCAAGAGAAATGTCTCTGGATGTTTGTGCTTTGTTTTAACTGATCAGCTAGACCAGCATTTCTCAACCTGGGGGTCAGGATCCCTGGGGGTAGGGTCATGAGGGGATTTCAGAGGGGCTGCCAAAGCCCTTTAGAAAACATATTTTTTATCCTCTTAGGAACTTCTTTGAAGGCTGAATATCTCTCTGCCTGTCCCTCTTCCTTTTTGGAAACAGTGAGTCCTCCCAACAAAAGCCCTCCTCTGTTGTGATTGGCTGGCCTCTCAGACAAGGGGTGGGCTGTTTCTGAGACTCCCAAGCAGGGAAGGGAGAACAGGTGTGCTGGGCACATGGCAGCATATGCATGTGCAGGCAAGAGAGCGTGTGAGGGTGGAGGGAGGTTCAAGACCGCGAGTCCCTTCAAAGTAGGGGAGTTCTGCACAGGAAGTTTGGCCCAATTCTATCATTGGTGGGGTTCAGAATGCTTTTTGATTGTAGGTGAACTTTAAATCCCAGCAATTACAAGTCCCATATGCCAAGGGCTATTTCCCCCCAAACTCCACCAGTGTTCACATTTGGGCATATTGAGTACCTATGCCAAGTTTGGTCCAGATCTATCATTGCTTGAGTCCACAGTGTTCTCTGGATGTAGGTGAACTACAACTCCAAAACTCAAAGCCAATGCCCACCAAACCCTTCCAGTATTTTCTGTTGGTCATGGGAGTTCTGTTTGTCAAGTTTGGTTAAATTCTATTGTTGGTGTAGTTCAGGATACTCTTTGATTGTGGGTGAACCATAAATCCCAGCAGCTACAACTCCCAAGTGACAAAATCAATTCCCCCCAACCCCACCAGTATTCAAATTTGGGTGTATCGGGTATTTGTGCCAAATTTAGCCCAGTGAATGAAAATACATCCTGCATACCAGATATTTACATTACGATTCATAACAGTAGCAAAATTACAATTATGAAGTAGCAATGAAAATAATTTTATGTTTGGGGGTCACCACAACATGAGGAACTGTATTAAGGGGTTGTGGCATTAGGAAGGTTGAGAACCACTGAGCTTGACTGTGAGAAGTCCAGACCTCCACTTGAGGTACACAATATTATTACCATGCCCTCATCAACAAAGATACGATATCTCAGATGTATTGTTAGTCCTATTGTGCGACAAAGCTTTAATTTTGACCCCTTTGCAATTATGATAGCTGCATCAGTTCAAAGTTTAAGTGGTCACCTCTGATGCATGAAGCTCCCACAGTGTGTGTATTTGTTTGTTTGTTTGTTTGTTTGTTTGTTTGTTTCCTATATTTATACCCTGCCCTTCTCCCCCTGAAGGGGGACTCAGGGCAGCCTAACAAAAGCATCATACAATGCTAGCATCATAAAAACAACCACTGTACAATCAAAATATTAAAAAATATTGAAACAACAATTAAAGCAACCAAGTATTTGGCTAAGCTTTAGGGATGCCGTCTCCTTAGTGGAAGGTTGTTAGAAGGGTTATAACAATCTGAATCTAAACAAGTTAACTCTGAAGTAGGGCTAGTGAAGTTCAGTGAAATTTTATTCTATGGAAGCTAAGGATGATAGCTAGATTTTATGAGAGAAGATGCTAAACACTTTCTAGTAGCTAAAAACAAGAATGAGCACTCCAATGAAGTGAGATTAGGAACTTTAAAAAGTTCAATTGTGTCATAACTTTGCGTGGCGGGGGGGGGGGGGGTATTAGTCAATTTACTTTGTGCTGACTGTGTTTTATTCAGGGACATAAATGAGGGAAACCTTCCAGATTTTGCTAGCAGTATAAGCCAAAAAATTCCTGTTGCTAAACATTAATGTATGTTTACTTTTCCAAGTGGCAATCTTAAGCGTGTTTTTTCAGTGATCCTTGTTGAGATAAAATGAGATATAAAGTACAGAGAGCTGATAGCTTACAACCTGTTGGGGCTTCACCTAGTTTCTATAAAAATGCAGCCCCTTTCTCTTGTTCTTTTTCTTGCCACATTGTGTCATGCATCAGCTTTGGATCAAACATATGTCAGTGCTAATGGCACTTTTGCAACTAGAAGAAATTACAGCTTAGCATCTGTTACTAATGGAGGACGTTGGGGTGACTGGACGTGGATTGACATGTGCCCAGAACAATCGTATGCCATTGGATTTAGTGTAAAGGTAAATATACTAATTGCCTCCTATGATATAGGCATTAGTTACTTAAGAGATTTAGATTTAACTGAGACATAAAATTCACTGTGTTTTATAATGAGCCAGCTCTTTGGTTCATCTAACCAAAGATTGCCAGGTGTTAACTAGCAGTGGCTTTCTAACATCTCAGACTGGTGGGTTTTTCCACATCTAGCTGGTGGCCTCCATGTCATTGGGGTGTTGAGTCTTCCAAGTTTTGACCACCTTTAAAGGAGGGTATCTGAAGTTTTTATCTAGGAATGTGGTTAGGCACCTTGGAGAAGTCGTTTAAACCTTTCATTAAACCCGGATGTACTGCCCAACTGACATAGGAACCACCAGACATCACTGCTATCCTGTTTTATTTCTTATTGCACTAGGTGGAGCCATATGGCGGAGTTTTAACTGATGACACTTCACTGAATGGAATTCGCTTATATTGTTCAACTGATGAAACCGACGACATTATGTATACCATTGAATCTGATACTGGAAGGCAAGTTTTATTGTCTCAAAACATCTCCAATTGATTTGATTTTACCATACATGCAACATTAAGACCAAATATTGTTAGCATGATAAAATACTGTGAATTTCGTTTGCCTTTGAATGGCTTGGTCTTATATAACCCTGGGGAGTCATCTTCCAGTTACTTCACTTAGAGCAGTAGTTTTCAACCTTCCTAATGCCACGACCCATTAATACAGTTCCTCATGTTGTGGTGACCCCCAACTATAAAATTATTTTCGTTGCTACTTCATAACTAATTTTGCTAGTGTTATGAATCCTAACGTAAATATCTGATATACAAGATGTATTTTCATTCACTGGACCAAATTTAGCACAAATATCTGATACGTCCAAATTTGAATACTTGTGGGGGGGGGGGGGAGAATGAGCATTCAAATTGCTTTCTGAACTCCACCAACAATAGAATCGAACCAAACTTGGCACACAGAACTCCCATGGACAAGAGAAAATACTGGAAGGGTTTGGTGGGTATTGAACTTCAATTTTGGAGTTGTAGTTCATTTACATCCAGAGAGCACTGTGGACTCAAACAATGATGGATCTGGACCAAGCTTGGCATGAATACTCAATATGCCCAAATGTGAACACTGGTGGAGTTTGGGGGAAATAGACCTGACATTTGGGAGTTGTAGTTGCTGAGATTTATAGTTCAGTTACAATCAAAGAGTATTCTGAACCCCACCAACGAGAGAATTGGGCCAAATTTCCCGCACAGAACCCTAATGACCAACAGAAAATAGTGTGCTTTCTTATGGTCTGGCAACCCTTCTGACACCCCCTTGTGATCCTCCCACAGAGCTCCCGACCACCAGGTTGAGAAACGCTGACTTAGAGGGAGGTATACCTCAGGCCAGGGACCCACAACGTTGTGCAATATTGGCCCAGAGATCCATCTGGAATTCACTGGCCAGTTCTGCTACCTACTGTGAGGAGATACTGAAATCCATGAGCTAAAGGGCTATAATACATTTTTCTGCTATAGACAACCTGCTGTATCAAGCACAAATAAAGCTTATCATATAATAGTAAAATATGTGGATTTCAGTATCAACCACATTCTAGAGAACCTAGGAAGCCAGTTCCAGCTCAGAGCAGCTATTTCTCCCTAGCTTAATCCCTCTCAGATAGAGTTTAGAACTGTTTCATTCGCTAAAGTTCAACTCAGTATATGTGTGGGCTCCTCTTTTGTTTTTGTTCCTATTGCAGCTTCTGTCCTGAACTTTATTACAATCAGTACATTTTTAAAATGCATATTATTCTATATTTGATGTTTTTTTCCTGCAATGAGTAATACCTAGTTCTAAAGTGTGTATATAGTTTTATTATCCCCATGTTTATCATTACGCACAGCATCAAAAATGTGTTTTTCCTTACTGAATAGGCTGCCAAATCTTGACTAATGAATATATATAAAGTGATGACTTATTTATTTCAACAAGTGAGGCCTTATTCTTAAAAATAAAATAATGAACAACATTCTAAGTTGTTACTAGGCTTTGATATGTAATAAATAAATCTAAACTTTTCCAACCATGGGGGGGGGGGGGATATTTTTCACCTTTAAAAATTTTAAAACAACCTATTTATTTATTTATTTACAGCATTTCTACCCTGCTCTTCTCACCCCCATAGGGGGACTCAGAGCAGCTAACAATGGCAACGATTTGATGCCGCAATAATTACAATAATAAAAGCAAAATAAAATCATACAATACAATACATTAAAACATTAGTTATCCAATCATAAAGGTATTTCCATTATAACAACCATCTGGTCCAATTCACTGTTCAGGTGCCGTTAAGTCCATCAGCCAAAAGCCTTGTTCCACAACCACGTCCTCAGTTTTCTTCTGAAAGAAAGGAGGGAGGTCGGCGATCTATTTTAGCTGGGGAGCAAATTCCACAGGGGGGGGGGGGGGGTCACCACTGAGAAGGCCCTGTCCCTCGTCCCCACCAGCCATGAAGCCTAATAAAAATAATGTCTGCATCTTGTCTTGAAGGCCACTGACATTCATATATGATCTCTCTGTTAAAAATACAAGATATTTGATGACTGAATAAATGTTACTACAAAACATAATGAACTGGATTACATGGATTGTGAATTAATGAGATATCACTATTAACCATATTACCTCGGATTATTTGTGCTGATCCTGAACTCTCATATGCTATTTCTGACACTGTTTTAGAGTATCCTATAACACTATGTAACAAAATTAGGAAAAAATGTTCCTGGTTTGGAAATGTTATTTGCTTTTTAATTGTGTGGTTCTTATACTCCAGAAGCTTAGTTTTAGTGGCTGTCACAAATGATACTGAATTGGTCAAGACTTTATAAGATATTGATTGAAAAACTATAACAAAATGTGCTGCAGGATGTCCCACTAAAACAAAGTTTTTGCAGTTTTATAAACTTTTCCCATGTTTTTATGCTAGAACCAATTAGGAAATAACATTTATAACCCAGGAACAAAAATCATGTTAGATAGTGTAATGTTGTTATATTTCAGAAGACGCACAGGGAAAATCAGGATGGAGAGCCAAAACTCATTATCTTTTTTGTCTAGAGAAAATCACTAGAGCTGATGTCTCATTCAAATCAGCTTGACTTAGATATGTTGTGATTAATTTGCCACCATGAGCTTTGAATAGAACTGAAAGATTTTGAGATTAAAAAAGAGAAATAATAAATTGTCCTGTTGTAAAACCAACAAAACAGATACCGTCATGTATTACTGAACTAAATCTGAAGGACTCCAGTATAGTCTTGAAAAGCTTATACAAACGCTGGGTAAATCTTATTCAACTTCTCTAATCGTTCAGTAGAAGATCTCATGATGATGCTTCCTAACAATTTATTTGAACTGACAAACAGAAGAACCTTTTTGTATTAAATTGCACTTTTCTTACTCAGGGCTCCAGTATGAAGTGTGACACAGTGTATCTGTAAATATATGTGCCTTTCAAATACTACCTTTGGATCTAGCTCACTGTTCTAAACTTAATAACACTTCCTAAAAATAATTTATTAGAAATATTGCTTACTTTCCCTTTTCTAGATATGGACACTGGTCAGAGATCAGATGGTGTCCAGCAGATGGTGTCTTGCGTGCCTTTCAGCTGCAAACTGAACCTGATCAAGGTGCTGGAGATGATACATCAGTAAACAACATCCGATTCCGTTGTAGCAACGGTCTTACCTTGGAAGAAGTTGGTGGTCCATTTGGTGACTACAGTGAGTGGAGCAATACCTGCTATAAAGGTGGAATTTGTGGCATGCAAACCAAGCAGGAGTCATATCGAGGCGCTTTCATGGATGACACAGCCCTCAATGATGTTCGCTTCTTCTGCTGTGAATAAACTGAACTGAGCAAGCTTTTCTTGCATGATCAGTACACTGCAATGAACATGCATTTGTTTCACAATTTCTCTACAAAGTTGGAGCAATATTTTCTAATTATTCAAAGTACCCTATTATGTTGGGGAAAAGTAACACTTTACCCAAATAGCATATTGATTTTTAATTGTATGTTGAATTCTTGTGTGGGTATTTATAACATCTGGACCAGCTTCTTAAAAAATAATTAATTATGGTTATAATATTGAGATCTGAAATTATATCAGTTATCACTGTGGTTGCACTTTTAGAAAAAAAATAACTTTGATTTCCTCCCATTTCTCAAAAGTACTTAAAATGGCTGTATTTCACTGCTTCAGAAATAATAAGAATATTATTAGCCACTACCATGTGAAAAGGATCCTCTCCTTCTATCCTCTCCATCATTGCCCAAACACCCACAATAGAGTACAAGGCAGCAGCACAAGGCAGCAATTGAATCATATAATATTCCTCCTCCATCATTTAGTGGGATCACTTTCCTATTACTCAAAGAAAAACCTAAACCTCTGTCACAAAAGGAGAAGCAGTATCATTCCTTAAATTACCATGATAATATAACTCATTCCTGCTGTTATGAGAAGAAGGAATGACTCAAAAGTAACTAAATGTTTGTAATGAATTACTGTCATGCTGTAGAGTGGCCAGCATTGGATTGTTCCAAGGTTGCACATATCCATTGGATTTTGAAGAAAACATTGGTTGGTGACATGACCCATGAAAAGAAATATAATTTACCCTGAACCTTGCCCATACTCACCATTGAAAGAATCTGGTTTCTGGTTTCATTTATTTAAAGAATTGCCCGAGGTTGTTCAAAAGTTAGCGAACACAGGACACCCTTTTCCAAAGATTTGTAGGGTTTGTGTTTAGTATTTTATTTTCTTTTAAAATTCTCTGATGAAGCATATGTGAAGCCTAGTTCAAACAGCCGCAAGACTGTTTCTGTACTGCAAGACGATCCCCTAAAAAGTTAAATGTACAAGGGGCATTTGTGCTGTCAACATTGAATGGGGACCTGAAGATTCATTGCATAAAAACTACTATGTATTTTGGGTATGATTTGACCAACCAAGCCTAAAACAACAATCAGTAACAATTTAGATTTCCATGTCATACAATGGTTCCCTTTGGTTTTTCACAAGATCTAGATTTCAGCATCCATAAACTCAGGCTAACACTCAGTTCAAAGGCATCTGGAAGACCAAATTCTGAGATACAATGTCCTACAGGAGAGATGGGGAACATGTACCCCCAAGTTATTTTTGGTGTACAGACCCTATAAACCCCAAACATTGGCTAGGCTGGTTAGGCTTGGTAGTAAGAGTAGGTCATAAATTTCTTGAAAGTTAACGGCTGCCCATACCACCTTACAGGATTAAAATCATATTGAGCCTTATCTTGAGTTCAAGTCATTTATTCTTCAATTCCTAGCCAAAACAACAAGAACAATGGCTTAGGCCAGTGGTTCTCAACCTACGGGTCCCCAGGTGTTTTGGCCTTCAACTCTCAGAAATCCTAGCCAGTTTACCAGCTGTTAGGATTTCTGGGAGTTGAAGGCCAAAACATCTGGGGACACACAGGTTGAGAACCACTGGCTTAGATCCACTGTGCTTCATATGATTCACATCCAGCTGGTTTTCTTATCTTTCTTACTACAGTGTCCCAAACCCTTAAAAAGGGCAATCTACACTAATATTCTAAATGTGGTCAGTATACCGGAATATTTGTATCGTACAGCTACAACTGCAGTTCCCATGCCATGAATGGACAAGTTGAGAGGCAGATATTTGGATTTAGGTCATTATTTCTCTATCCCTTTTTCTAAGGCCCCTTCTCTACAGCTGAATAAAATCCCACATTTTCTGTTTTGAACTGGAATATATGTCAGCGTGGACTCAAATAACCTAGTTCAAAGCAGGTATTTTGGGACTTTCTGCCTTGATATTCTGGGTGTGTGGGTCCTCTGACAACAGCAGCAATTGTGACTTCTTTACTGTGTGTTCTGAAGGTTAGATCCATAATAAGAGCCAATTATTATGGAACCTGAACAAGTAGGAGGCAAGTTGTTAAAGAAAAACTTCTTGATGAATACAGTCCTTCCTATCGACCCGGATGCCTTTCCATTTTATACAGACTGCAGCTGGAACTTTGTTGGTTATTCAGACAGATTTTAAAACCCCAGAAAATCCTAGATTTTGATCTTATTTTTCAAATTTTAATTCGGAGATCAATTTTTAATACAGGTTGGGTATCCCATATCTAAAAATGCTTTGACCAAAGTTGTTTTGGTTATCAGATTTCTGGGGTTGTTTTTGTTTGTTTTGAATAATTGTTGTTGCACATACTTGTACATATGCACTGAGCCATAAGTCTAATTACAGCCTTAATTTGTTTCATATATTCCTTACACATGAAACCTGAAGGTAATTTCATACAACATTTTAAAAAATTGTTCATGAAAAAGGTTGAGTGCACTGAATCATTATAAAGCAAAGGTGTCACCATCTTAGCCAACCATGTGGACAAATTTGAGTCCTGAAGTGGTTTGGCTTTCAAAATTCTCAATAAGGGATGTTCAGCCTGCCCCAGCTCCCCAGATCAATTAATTTTAACCCAATTTAAAATCCAAAATAACAGGAACAAAATCTGGGATTTTTTAGTCAAACAGGATGCACTCTTAACTAGAGCACACTTACTGAATCAATTTTTAGAGGTAAATCAACACTTAAGTAAATCCCATTGATTTATTGGGTCTACTCTACTTGGTTGTAAGAGCATGATCAAAGCATACACTCAGATCATACACTCATACAGCCCACTTAACTGGCCAGTGTCTGTTCAGTCCCTTTCATCCTAGAACATATCATACTCATGATGAATGACACATCTGACTCATTTATCACAAATGTAGTTTTCAGGCATTTTCCTCGCACTACACTGAGGTCTCAATTAGATCATATGGCATCTTTACACATCAGCTTAGGACCCTTATCAAAGGTTATTTACTTCCACTGAGCATTTGGAAGAAACTGTACAAATAGGTCAATTTGGTGACATTGACCTGGGCAACCTGCCTGTTGTTGACTTGCCTTCTTGTTGTTAATTCATGAAAAATTCATCTGTGTCCACTTGACATCTGTGTCCACTTGACATGTGGTGCATATGTATATAACCGAGGTACATCAATGCCATAAAACAAGCAAACAGTATGAACTTAAGTATGTATCTTGTGCATATTATTGCCATTTTGATGTTTTTGTGCTTTGTGACAAATAGAAATGGAGTAACAATATTTGAAGTACATTGTTTTAGGGATTCCTATGCAGAATAATTTTCCAATGATGTCTTAGATTGGCATACATATTCAGCATTCAGGACAGTAGAACTCATGTGAACTGGAATCCTGTTGGGACAATCATATTTGTTTGGTATTCATGATCTCTACATATTCCATAGTTTAGGGGGCCCATGGGGACTGTGCAAGTCTTCCAATCTCCATTTATTCAACAGTATCTGCTATGATTGATTGGCATCTATTTTGCTGTCACTTAAGAAGCAGCTGAATGATGTTCCAACCCTTCATGTGAGCAATCACTAGTGGAGGGTTGAATTGAGACAGGGACTTCTTCTGTTTGTTGTGGATTGCATAAGGGAGATATGGGGAATATCACTCATCTCTTTCTCAAGTGACAGGAGTCTGGACCCCTGTCAATTGCAGCAGCTGCTTCCTTGAAAATCCAGATCATGGGGGTGATCAGGTGGGGATACATTGTATATCTCCACCTGACTCCTGATACTATGGTGGTTACATATTCATAACCCATCCACAGGATACCAGCTGTGGTTCTTAACAAAAAGAGGGAAACAAATAGTCTTTGGGTTGCTGTGAGTCTTTGTCTCCTATGATCCAGATCCTTTCAGGCAGCATTTGTACTGCTGCACAACAACCTCTTCCTGAAATCACGTGACTATAGCTCAGTGGTAGAATACATGCTTTGCATAAGAAGGGTATTTTTTTCAATACCCAGTATATATTAATAAGGTTGGGAAAGGCTCTTTTATGGACCAAAAGGCAGATGTTGTTAACCAGTGCAGTCTGTATTAAGGCCAATAATCAAAATGACTGATTCAGTACAAGGCAGCTTCCTATGATCCTTTCCAAAAAGTAACCAATGTCAGAACTGATAGAACAGTCTCTTTCTTTCGTTCACTCATAAGTACAATGCAGGAGTTCTGAGTCTGGATGCAAAATTGTTGTTTGTTTAATTCCTATCTGCAGTAACCTCTTGTTGAAAATACAGAACAGAACCCAGAAGGGCAGGGCAGGTTTCAAAATGCATTTGCTAGATCATCAGTTACTTTGGGAACAATCCAGCACAATGTTAAGTAGTTATTGGTGTTCAACACCACCATAGTCCATAACTAACAGCAACCACGAAAATGGAGTTGAATATCAATGTGTCAATGCTGCATGTTGTACCTAACAATCCTGTTGTTTTTTCATAAAGTGCAGTCAACCAATCCTTTTATAATTTCAGTAATAGGTAATACATTAATGATCACAGATGTTATTCAGCTGTTAATAAACTAAAATTTAGCCAGGTTGATGTTTCTGTTTTCTTGTTTTATGTCTAAATCTGGCCCATGGCAGTGTCTTAACTGTGATGAATTGGGAAGCCGCTTCACACCAGAAGCGACTTGTAGTTTCTCAAGCCGCTTTTGACACACAAAACACCCCTGAAAATAATATCTGAAGAACAAAGGAAAGTCACTTATCAAAGCTGTAATCTTGTTTTATGTTTGTTACAGCTGTTTTATGCATTCAACATAGTCACAACCATATTTTATCAAATTCACAAAGAAGAAATTATATTCTGACTTGAACAGTGTCTTCAAAAAATAATGTTAACTTCTTTTTTATATAAATTACACAATATACTAAAATATTCCTTCTAGAAGTTTGCTCCTTAGAGTCCTTTGAAAGACAAATATCAGTGTATTATAGTTGCTTAGTTGATCTTGATGGCACCTTTCCATTTTGCATAATAAATGTTTGTTTATTTTCTCTCAGTTCTTTTCTGGGAGCAGTGCAACCATTGTCAATATCAAAATCTTTGGAATATATTTTTGATAGAAATGTACAAACCAGAAGTATACTACAAGTGCATCCCCTGGTCAGAGGACATGGACAGAGCTTTCTCTTCCCTCTCTCTGGCATCTTGGAAACAAGTGTAGAAAACAACACTGGAATTAGACAGATATTCATATTCATCTCATATCCAAGGGGTATGAATGATTAAGCTGCCAGATCTGATTGATCCCTTTGTTACATTTCTGTAGACATATGTCTGTCTTCTTAACCTCAATGCACTTTCCAGAAAGCAGATGAACAATCATTCCATTCTGTGAATGAATTGAAAAACAAAAACAGTATTGGCTTATTCATCGGCATTATTTCTCACCACCTTTGAAAAGTTGTGAATTTCTCAGCTTAACAGCCAAATTAGACATCGTGCTAATTGTACGAATTCATGATGGTGCACTTTTTGTTATATATGAAGTAGAGGTTATGTTCCTCACAAATGATACATAGACATTTAATTTGCTATTCAGTTTATATATTTTCCCCTTCTATAAATCCTAGGGTGTTTACACAGTGTGTCTCTTCCTCTCCGTGTTAGCCTCACAAGCATGCTGCAAGTAAGATTAGACTGTGAATCAAACACCAGGTCAAAGTCACATAGAAAGCTTAATGGCCGAATAAGGACTAGAAGCCAGAGTCCTTTCACATTACACAATTAGGCCTCATCTACATTGCCATACAAAATCCAGATTATCTGCTTTGAGCTGGATTGTAGGATAGTGTAGATTCATATAATCCAGTTCAAAGCAGATAATGTGGATTATCTGATTTTATAATCTGGATTATATGACAGTGTAGAAGGGGCTTTAGATTGCTATGATTTCAGTTTGACTGCCATGGCTGCATCCTAAGAAATACTGGGATTTAGCAGTTTAAGGATGGGGATTAAGGACACATAGCTAAGGAGCTCACCAAACTAACAATCCCAGGATTTTTTGGACATAGCCATAGTGGTTAAAGGGAACGCATAGTATTATGACTGTGCAGTGTGATTACTCAAGTCTCAGGACATTATCACACGACCCTTCTATTCTGTTACAGTAGCACCACACACCACATTGAGCACCTTCAATATCATCTGTCAATTCACCATTCAGTGGTCCTGCAATCATAATTCCTAACACCCCTCACAACCTCATAATTTTTGTTACAATTTTTTATTTTTTAGCACAATTTCAATATTTTTTTTAAAAAGGAAAGCAGCCATCTTGGAAAGAGTGAGGAAGAGGGGAAGAGGAGGAGAATCCTCTGATGTAATACTACTGTCATCACAGAAGCAGACGGGATATGATGGGAATGTTGCAGGATTAGAAGCTAATGACCAGTTTTATCTATTAATGTTCACCATGATGTCTGTTAGGGACGGTCACCCAGCTGTGATGCTGGTTTCTCTGTCTTGTGTGATAAAGTCCTCAGTTCAGCATTCAAAACATTATACCATGCTGCATTGAGGATGGGACCTCTAAAAACATTCTTCCCCAGCTTCTCAGTGTCTCAAAAAGGCCTTGCTATAAACAAACTGTAGCCTACAAAGCACCTGTTTTCATAAACATCCTTGAGCCATCATCATAAACTCTTCATTTATTTTTGATATAGTGTAGCCTTGAAGCACAACCCACCACATACCTCTTTGATGTCCCATTGTTGTGGGCTGTTTTCCATCTCTTTTGTACAGTTTTGAAGGACAATTTCTTCATGCCTGACATCAAAGCAAAGCTTCAACGTGGACCCAAAGCGGATTTCCTTCATGCTGCTGAATTCAAAGTACTAAGGGAGGGAAAGGACAACATAGTTGGAGAACAGGAAGGAAAAGTTAAATAATTTCCTGCCTGTGATTGCTAAAATACACACCAAATGAATTAAGGAAATGCTTTAGGCATTGGTTAACACACTGTTTCCCACACCAATATAAAAGGGATGTGCTGCTTAGTTGAAACAGTGAAATGTGGATAATAATATGCCGACCAAATCCTGAAGCCAAGAATATTTCAACTTAAAAATAAGGTGAAAACGACAAGGATGCTGAGAACAAAAATAGCTAAAAAGGACCAACCGTCCTGCTGCTGGATTTCACCAGCTATGAGTTACTAAAAGGGATTTTATAACAAGCTGTTGAGTGAGTGGTGTGAAAGTAATTTTAAAACCTGGTTGCTTTGCATAGGGAGCTGCTGCAGTTGTAGCTATTGAACCATCTCAGCTAGAGCTGAGGAAAAAGTCAAGCTGATCCCCTTTTGGCGTTTTTAATTATTTTAATTTAACATCTTCACTGTATTGTTTAATGCTGTTATAGGTTTTGTACCATATATTGTTTCAACCGTTTTGTTCCAACTTATGTTGTAAGCACCTCTGATTCTCATTTTGGGACAGAGGTGGGATATAGAAGCATAGAGCTGTAAGGTACTAAAAGTGCCCTCTAGTCTGAATGACTTGCTATGCAGAAATACACAGCTTAAGAAATCCTGAAAGATACACATCCAATCCAAAAGTGTAATTTGCCACCCTCTAAGACAATTACTATATATACTTGAGTATAAGCCAACCCAAACAAGCCAAGTCACTCAATTTTACCACAAAAAAACTGGGAAAACTTACTGACTCAAGTATAAGCTGAGGGTGGGAAATGAAGCAGCTACTGGTAAATTTAAAAAAAAACCCAGATACCAATAAAATTACGTTAATTGATGCATCAGTAGGTTTTTAAAAAATATTTACATAAATCTGTAATTTAAGATAAGACTATCCAACTCTGATTAGATCATTATTCTTCTTCAATGTAAATGTGCTTATGTGTCCTTCCAATAATCACCATAGTTCATTTTAATTAACCATTTTGGGAGAAATGCTATGTGTACATGAACAAGGAAAGGTGGGAAAGACTGGCGCTGAGAAAGGAGGAGAGAAAGGTGCATGCTGTGCGGGAGAGGAGGAGAGGAAAGAGAGCTGGGTTGCTGTGCGGAGAGATGAGGGTCCTGGTAGGAAAGCGTGGGGCTGAAAGAAGACCTTCTTTCAGCCACATGCCTTCCCGCCAGAACCCTCATCTGAGTATAAGCCAAGGGGGCTTTCAGCCTAAAAAGGGGGCAGAAAAACTAGGTTCATACTTATACTTATATACAGTTATTCCACTGTTGAACACCTCTTATAGTGAAAAAGGTCTTTCTCATGTTTAAGTGGAATCTTGTTTCTTGTAATTTGAATCCTTTTATTAATTTTCTCCATGCTAAACATATCCAGCTACTAAATTAAATTAAAATATTATTCAGCAAATAGAAGAGACTTTATGTAAAACCAGGCCTCTCATGTGTTACACCTGAACAACTTTTGACAGCTTTTCCTTTTTCCAGGTCTGTGCTTAACTCTCTCCAGTTTCTCTCCCTCTAACACACATCTCCCCAGCCTAACTTGACCTAAAATTCAAAACTATGCCTATTTAAACAGGTGCCTTTGATTGCTGCCAGTTCTGCTCTCTCTCCTTTGCATTAGCCAGTTGTGAGAGCAGAGCAATCAGTTGTGGAAACTGTCAGAAAACCATTTCTGCCAACTCTGACCCTCGTTTCTGAGTTAATGTATGATTGAGTCGACAATCAATATCAGAATTTTATATCTTTCCTTGTAATCTATTTCTGTTAATGGAATGAAAAGCAGCAGAAAGATCAAGATATGACTATTAGAAAGGGAGAATAAATACATATTCACACAAGTGAATTTTAGGAAAGTGCTCATGCCAGAAAATATTTCTGTGCGAGTCAACAAGATCATTCATGCTTTGGAAGACCCCATAATCTTCAGTATTTCTCTGAAGAAGAGATTTGAAGATGAAATAATTGTGTGCAAGCAATTTTGAAATTAGGATTACCTGGTTAATATTGTCACTGCAAGGTGATAACCCAAGAAGGCTTCTTACAGCAACCTTTTCAGAATTGTACTCCGCACAGAGTCCAAGTCCAGTATTGTACAGCTATCAAGAATATTGATAATGAAGGAAGGCAAAAAGTATACATTAATTATATTTAACTTAATAATAATAATAATAATAATAATAATAATAATATACTTTATTTATATTCCATTCTACCTCCTCGAGGGGACACAGAGCGGATTATGGAATACATATATGGCAAATAATCTTACAATTAACAATAAAGACAGTACATAGGCAGAGACTAGGCTTCCCTCTTTTTTATCTCTGGCATCTGGAGGCTGTACTCCACTCGGCCATGAGGAGGTGCTGTCGTTCCATTTTTCCATGCTGAGGAGCCTATTGTCCGTGGATTCCTTCCTGATCGAATTGCCGGCATGTCTTCAGGGGTGCCTTTTATTTACTTGCCAAAGCAGTACCTATTTGTTTACTCATATTGCTGTTTTCAAACTGCTAGGTAAACAGAAGCGAGGGCTGATGGTCGGAGCTCACTTGGACCCGCAACTTGAACTGCCAAGCTTCCAGTTGGCAAGATTTTCTGTAGTTGGTGGTTTAATCCACTGTGCTAACTTCCCGTTCCAGTGCAACTTTCTTTGTGACTTTTAAAGTACAGTGTTGGTTTTCTGTAGTCACTGTATACCCAAGTTTCAATGAATCTACATAATGAGGATGGAATACTTGGCTTTCTAAAAACAAATTAATTGCATGAAATGGCATGGATCCAAAGTCACAGAGGCATGGAGCACTCTCATTATAAACATTAGAATGTAGAGAAAGTACAGCATTTTATTTTAATATCTGAGACTATAACCATTAATCTCAGCTATTGGGAATTCTGTTCAAGCTAGAGAAAGTTTGAGCTAGCAATAATAATAAATGAAAATACTACATTTTACTTGCCTTTCCTGAAAACCCTGGTCTGTCTTGTACGGGGTGCAATTCAGGGTACACATTTGAAATAAACCACAGAAAACTTTTACATCCTAGTCTCTTTTTCAGCTGGATGCGGGCAGTGCAGTTTGGCTTCTCTGCCTATTGAGAGAGCACATGAAACAATTGAGCAGATATTGAACATCTTTATATTTATATGAATAGTTGCATTAGTAATGATTTCCTGTTTCAGTCGCTCATTAAAGTTGGTAAAACTTTTCACATATTTGCAAGAACACTGCATTTTTATCAGTTAAACATATATGATTGATTGAATCTTGTTTAAAATAATTTCAGGTCATGTCATTGCTGCATCAGTATTAACTTATTTATGTTCCCTGTTTATTGTTTTGTGTATACAGCCTGAAAAGAGCTTAGGACTGAGCTGTTTTAAAGGACCATGGGCCACATGGAAGGAGGCTCCCAAAAGATAACTAATGCCCTTTCCTTAAACATTTTAAAACTTGGTGTTTAAAACACACACACAAAACTAGTTCTGCAGGATTTACCTTGTTTATCAAACATGCCAACCTGTCATGTTTGTAAAAGAGATGTTTAAATGAATCCAGCCAGGTCTCAGCTATTCGTATTTTGTTCCTTTCTATTGCTTTTTCATCTGAGAAGTTGTATGCCATGCCCGTACGATAGACATGTCCTACACGTGAACATGGAAGGATTTCAACAGATCCACCACAAAGCCAGGCCTGAAATAGAGAACATACGTACATACATATACATAGGTATAAGATATGTCCTCCAGATATTGAAGTCCAACTCCAACTTCCATCCACACCAGCCAGCACAACCAATGACTGGGCATGGGTAGGGACTCAGGTTTCTCAAAGGAAAAGGGAACCTCCCCGCCTACAATGCTACGTAATGCTTAAGCTCAGATGAATAAACATGGTGATCTTATATAAAACTTAAGAGCGAAATATGCCAACAACAGTGCCAACACTTTTAATGATATTCATAGGTGTCATTGTCTTATTATTATTGTGTAAACAAAAAATTGCCAGTGTAAGTATTGCATGAGCAGTTTTGCCTTTCAAGGTATTTCCTAAAAGTATCCTCAGTTCACCTGTGCAATGGAGCATGCATTTGCATAATGGGAGATATGTTATTGCTTGCACAGTGGTGGGACTCAGTATATGAGCAATCTAACTACTGTAGCATAACTTTACACTATGTAAACTGTCTATTAGATCTTCACCTAAGGCTTACCATTGAATTCAAAGCAGCTTATTTCTTAATTTTAATTTATATTTTAATGTATATGTTGTTTTCTGCAGATACGTGTTCAAGGCAATGAATGGAGTCTTTTTTGTGAGCCGCCCTGAGTCCCCTTCAGGGTGAGAAGGGCAGGATAAAAATAAAATAAAATAATTCTGAGCAGTTATTCATAGGGCTGTGCTAAAACCAAATTATCTTTCTCTCAATCACTACCTTAATTAAACATGAATTTATCACAGGGCCTTGGATCGAAGTCACTCAATGAGTTTCCATGGTCAAATGGGGATTCAAATCCTCTTCTCCAGAGTCACGATCCCATGCTCAAACAAAAATACCACACCGGCTTCTTAGAGATGCTGAGAAAGAATATATGTCTTGCATGTGCACAAGATTTTTCAGGATGTTTTCCCATCAGTAGCTTACAATGTTACACACCACATAAACATATTCAAATCACTTTCCAAGAGGTCTTTCCTTGTCCAGATCATTGTTCTTTGTAATCCTTTACTGTTCTCAAAATAAAAATGAATCATCTTAATATAACTACAGTTTCTGTTGAAAACATGAACTAACATTTTGAAAGCCATTGCCTTATGATAAAAACACACTACCAGAAAGGAAGAGCTGACTTTCAAATGCTTACCTTTATAGATAATTCAATATTTTCACCTCCCAAGAGGGTCATGTCAGAATCGTAACCACCTGTATTTTGGAAATAATGACGGTTCACTGCTATGACTCCACCAGGCACTGCAGGACTCCTAAATATAATGTTAACATATCAGAATTGTTTCATTTAATTTTCCCTCTATTATATTATTATGAATGGCTTAAAGTATAGTGAGGTAACAGTATGAAGTATGGTAAGAAAGCAGTATACTGCCGTTAACTGTTGATAAATGAAAATAAGAAATATATATCTATCAAGATTATTGGTAAAATTAGCAAGATAATGTGATGAATAAATTGTGTCCCGGGGGGGGGGGGTGTGCAAAGGGTGCGAACCACACCAGGTAACACCATCAGAGGGTGTGCTATTAAAATTACTGTTAGTAAAAAAAATATGTCATGTATTTTAGCAGGAATTCTTAAATAAAAATATCCCTGTGGTTAAATGTAAACACAGAAATGTTTCTCACAAGTTCAGCTTATATGAACTGCAGCAACAGACCCACAAGGCTAAAACTCTATGCTAATTTCCTCTTTGAACTATTAATGTACATGTGCTCTGGTCAGTGCTGTCCTTACTCAATTCCAATGATGTTTCAAATCACATAGCTTCATCTGCAATAGATATAAGCATGTATTATCACTTTTATTGCTATAGGTTTTTCTATATCCACTGATTTTTGAAAGTTTTCTGGTATTTAAGCTACAATATCATGGTCTGGTCTGGTATATGAGGAGGTCAAAAGTGGTGGCACCATGAATTACCACAATGGGTGACACCACAGCTCATGATGTGGTCTGTGAATTGAATTAATCTGTAAGAGATATCTCTCTTTCTCCTGTAGCCTGAAAATCTGCCTTGGATTTATATTACAGAGATCTAGAGCACTGCAAAGCACATTGCAAAGATAATTTTAATGGAAAATTTCAGAGGCATTTTGGCAGCACTTGGTTGAAAGCCCTTGCATTTTCTTCAGGTACAATCCTCAAATTATGAAGACAACAGAAAAAAATTGACATAATATGAGTCAAATTGTATCCTTGAATTCACAAAGTATATAAGCCTGCCTTGGTGCCATAGGTATGTTCAGCAATAAACACAACTGTGTTTAAAATTTATGATATTGTTTGTGGCTTAATATGCATAATCATATTTGAAATCACAAACTTTTAAAAATTCAAGCAGTGTGTATTTAGTTTTATCTGGAGAGCATCTAATTTGATAGAACATAAAATCATAGAATCACAGAGTTGGAAGAGCCCTCGTGGGTCATCCAGTCCAACCCCCTGCCAAGAAGCAAGAAAATCGCATTCAAAGCACCCCAGACAGATGACAATCCAGTCTCTGCTTAAAAGCCTCCAAAGAAGGAGCCTCCAGCACACACTGGGGCTGAGAGTTCCACTTTTGAACAACTCTCCCAGTTAGGAAGTTCAGGTGGAATCTCCTTTCCTGTAGTTTGAAGCCATTCTTCTGCATCCTAGTCTCCAGGGCAGCAGAAAACAAGCTTGCTCCCTCCTTCCTATGACTTCCCCTCACATATTTATACATGGCCATCATGTCTCCTCTCAGCCTTCTCTTCTTAAAGTAGTGCTGGAGAACTTCACCTCTGAAAACATCCAGATATTATCTCAAATGATGGATATCTGATCTCATATTCAGAAGCAAAGTAGAAAACTAGCAAATTTCAGAGTTTAGTAAATGTTTTGGATCACAATCCTGAGACCTATCTAGCCAGTAGGGATTCACAGAGTAGAGATAGTCCAAAAAAAGTAACATTTTCCAAGCTCTGAATTCTAAAGAGTTTAACCCAATAAACAATTACCTGATGGGGCTGATGGGAGACAGCCGTACCTTCTGTTCATTTTCTGTCAGTGGCTTCCAGTGGAAATCTAATTTCCAGTCAAAAACACCTCTCTGCAGGTCCATAGTATGGTAATACTGAAAAGTCTTCCAATTAATTATATCTATGACAGGAGAAACAATCCGACTTCTGGAAAAAAAATTAAAACATTGGGTTTTTACAAAGAGAAAACAAGTAAAATACGTTAAAATGCACCCTTGGAAAAGCTTAGCCAGTGGTTTTGGGGTTCAACGATGGTTTTAGAGTTCAACATAGCTACCTCTGTATGCCTGAAAATATATAGATTTCAGGGTTCTTTAAAAGATAAAACATGAAAAATCATTTAGTTCTAAGATGGTGATATTGCTGTGCAACCTTTGGCAGGCTTCATCAAGCAATCCTTTATTTATACTTTTTAGTCAATTAAAACATAGAAATCATTATAAGGATTATATTGCACATTTCACTTTTCATTCCCAGGATTATTTGTGCATAAAAATATATTGACCAGAAAATAGATTATACCCACATATTTTCCTTTCCTTCTGTGAAGGAAAGTGAGTAGGAATGGACAAACATTAAAGACTTCTAGACAAATTTGTAAAAAAAATGGGTAAGTCCACAGCAAAAAAGAAAAGAAAAGAAATCTGCACCCATCAACATGAGACACCTTTAATAAATATTCTTGTTTACCAACATGAAGAGAATGTGGCCTACCATTTAGCTGTTCAAAATAAAGGGTCTTTCAGGAAAAAGAACCTTAATTCAACAAAGAGAAATTATGGCAGAACTCCCCACAAGTCGTGTATGCCAAAGGCACTACTAGGAGAAAGGTAAAGACGTGGCTATGGGACCAGGCCTTTGGGCATCCTGACAATTAGGTATGGAATCCAGATGGATAGGACTGACAATGTGCGGAAAGTAGAACCTAACTATGAGTCTGTTAAACGCTGTCCAGCAATGAGGTTTGTATTGCTTTTACTGTTTTAATTGTTTTAATTGCTTTTACTTTATGGGTTTTTTGGATGTGTCGCCGATAATAATGACTGCTTAGGTTAATTGTTATCATTGTTATAATTGCTATTGTTATTGATGTTATGTTTTGTTGTCATGTAATGCGGGCATCGAATTGTGCCTTGTTGTGTAAGCCGCCCTGAGTCCCCCTCGGGGTGAGAAGGGCGGGGTATAAGTGACCGTAATAAATAATAAATAAATAAATACTAGATCCCTTCTTTGAAAGCTAAAAAGGGCTCAGCTTTAAAAAAAACAACTCCACCATGAAATACCAGGTGCTGAAGAATATATTCAGAGGAAAGTAATGGCAATCTACCTCTGAATATTCCTTATGTAAGAAAACCCTATCAAATATATGGGGTCACCATAACTTGACATGTGACTTAAAAATAGATGTCTTTAAAGAAGCCTTCTCTCTGAATGTTGTTGCTGTATTTATCATGTCTCTTTCCCCCATTTGGATGAAATGACATTTGCTTAACCATGAATTTTCAAGGCTCTCTCTATTCTGGAGTATTTTACTTGTGCAGTTTTTGGTTGTTCATCATGTGGATTTTTAATAATCTAAAGCAGGGGTTTCAAACATATGGTTGCCTCCAAAGAGCCATTGAATTAAAGGGTGGAGAATCCATGGATACAGAGGACCAACTATAATTTTCCTATGAAGTGGTCAATGCTCTTTAGTTTTTACCCAGTTTGAGTCCCCAGACGTTATCGAATGACATCTCCCATCCCTTTTGATTATACGCAATGTGCACTGAGGATAATGGGTATTGAAGGCTCCTATTTTCTCTGAGTTCTGTCCTAAGACCTCTTCACATGATCCTTTTGGGCTGTGCCGTTGTGCCAGTAATCACTGGCAAAAGGGAAGGTGCATAGGGCAGCTCATGGTGCTTCATGCACCCTCCCTCATTCCCTCACCATATGGTGGGGACGGGACAGGATGTGTAGGCACCCTGTCTTTCTCCCCATCAGATGGGAGAAAGGGTGGCAATGCGCAGCAACACATGTTTCCCCACTCACATCACACAGGAAAAGTGGGACAAAAGTGTGGGTAGCTCCAACAGAGCTAACCAAAACACACGTTCCTTCCTGTAGTGGTGGAACTTCCCCTCCTCTTTGGGAGGAATATGGAGGGGGGGGGGGCTGCCATGCATCATGTGATGGTGTATGACAGGCCCTGTCCAAGCTGCAAATAAAAGCAACAAAATGAGGCTAAAATGGCCCATGTGAAGAGGTCACTGGGACGCATCCAAGAAGAATTCAGGACAGAGTCCTAACGGAAGTAGACCTGCATCATGTGATGGGCCTCCGTTGGGCTCTGTCCTGGCAGCATCCTGGCAGCATCCTAGGATACTAAAAAAAGTCAATGTGATGAGGTCCTATGTCTAACCATCTTGTGGACTCACATTGGGCCAGGTTGTAAGAGCACAATGCTGTGTCTCATATTGCTTCATAGGCTTGCGACAAGACTAAATTTCAGTGTGATACAATAGTAGTAAATCAGCAAAGTAGTATTGATGCATTGCAGATTTATGTTAGAACACTGCAGTTTTGCACTTTGTGCGTCTGCCCAGTATAAAAAAAATATGCACGCACAGGATAAAAATGAAAAATGCAGTGTACCAAACAGTCATAAATAGAAATACTCACAAAGGGGGAGGATGACAGGATGCTGAAAAATATCTTTTGACAGGTATTACCATTTAGCAAGTATCTTGGCCTCTTATTTTATTATCAGATATTGACCCATGTCAGAAAATGGTTAATGAAAACCACTTAATATAACTGAATACTTGACTAAATTACAAGAATGCAAATTGCATATAAAACATACCCTTATCTGCATGAAATTGCTAATTGATTTCTTTCCAAAATCAATTACATTTAGAAGTAGATACACAACCATGATAGCAGTGCAAGATTCCTATCATTTATAAAGTAAGAGCAGTTTGTAAGTCTAAGGATAATAGTTCAAGAAACGAAATAAAAAAATAATATATTTTAGTCTTACTTTTAGTATGCCATCTGATAAATTTCCAAAAAAGAAAAGTTAATATTATTGCTTTAAAAAGTATGTTTTTTAAAAAAAATGTGGGAAAGAAAATATTATAAGAACAATAAAATTAACAAGTTCAAATATTCTGTTACCCTAGATCAGTGCTTCTTAAATTGTAGGACTCAACCCAAAATGGGGTTTTCTTAGCTCAAAGTCTGAGTCCTGAAAAATATGGCAACAGTAAAAGTTTTCTAATGGCTGCTTGATACAATTACATGAATATGTTGTGCAGTATTCACGGTGGACTTTGCAGAAAATGATTCAGTTGTACTTCATAAAAAGGGGGAAAACCCCTCTCCTGTTTAGCCAATCTTGTGCTGATTTATCCATAAATGTTTGATGTTATATTTATTTTATATACCTCTATACCTGAGATCACATTAAAATTTAAAAGCATTTCCCTTTATATTTTGTGTACTCCAAAGTATATGAATATAAGATATGCACTCTTAAGATTCAAATTCCAGTCTTGACATGAAAAGTGTTACAGAATTCTTTCAGCCTCATAGGAGAAGTTTCTGTGTCTTTGTGATGGTTGATATTCAAACTGACTCTATCATCTTACCTCTTTATTTTGAAAGAATCTGTTTTTGTTATTTTCACCAGAAATTTAATCTTTTTGCAGTAAATTTATTGGAAAGGCAGGGTATGCAGTCATTTTCCAAGGACAATAATAAGAAATTGGAAAGTGCTTCAGCCATTCCTCTCATTTTTAGTTTAAAATCTGGCAAAAAGAGACCAAAACTGTACATTGAAAGAAAATCTACATACCTAGTACTGAGTTGCTTTTCTGTAAAATCAAACAAAATAGGATGGAAATCCATGTCCTAACCTGGTTTTAAGTAGCCAAGTGGAATTTTAAATCATCAGGGATTACTTCAAATATTTACTTTGAAATATACAAAAGTTCAATTTTCTTTAAGCTTTGCTTCCTGTTTTGAATGTTAGACCTCAAATAATGGCCAACAAAATGCTTTCCTTTGACTTTTGCCATAAACATGAACATTGTGTACAATTCTTGCAATTGACTAGCCCATCTGTTTTAAAGCTTAAACTGACTTGAAAAGATCCCGTTACTGATTTACAGAAAAGCCAAGAAGAGACGAGGAACATGTCCTGATCAGCTATCTCTGTTGTTGCCAAAACAATTTTCAAAATAGGTATGTTCCTATAAAAATGGTATGAATGGAATGGCTTTGGTATGTAGATTGTTCAGTCTAGATGAAGCACCCCTTTCATATATATTTGACCACATCTAGGAGACAATAATAATAATAATAATAATAATAATAATAAGAAGAAGAAGAAGAAGAAGAAGAAGAAGAAGAAGAAGAAGAATCTTGAACCAGTCTGTTGTTCCAAGGCCAGTTCTTGCTGTTGCTACTTGGTCATTATACAGATTCCTCAGGAGACAGACAAGGTGACTTGGTATCCTCATACCGCCAATAACTTTTTGTTGATTGTGGATAAATAAAACTGTGAATACTGATCCTGCAGATAATGGGACCATACTGTACTTACTCTGTACCTGGCTGAAATATTTCTGTACTTGAACTCTGTTGCACCCCTTCCTCCTCAAAAAATACCTTGCTTCTTTTTCAATTAAAAAAGGATGTATAACTACTGTAAAGCACAACTAAAATATTTCCTCCCTGTCTATTCTTTTTCTGTTTTAACAATGTGAATTAATGCATTGATCTAGAACCTCTGAGGCTTATATTGAGCTTCATAAGCTTTGGAACCGTCAGATATAATGTATGATGATAAAACAAACCTGCGGTTGTGTAAGTAGCATAGCAAAATAAAGTAGATCTTTCTGCTATATTCACATTATCCATACATATCATGACACATTTTATTCCTTTGAGTAACATTTATTGTGCTAATTAAATTTTCTATAGATGATTTTGTTTTCTACTCTGTTATGCATATTTATAGCATGGAATTATTAATAAGTGCTATGAAGGAGTCCTTCTTTTGCCTAAAAGCCTTCTTGATTCTTTTCAATTTTATCAGTCCTCTGAAGCCAACAGACATTCAAGTATTACTGATCTTCACATGTTCGACTGAAATGAAGTCCTCAATGAAACTATACACAAAGGGCTGTTCCGTTACAAAACTCATCCCTTGCAAAGGGTCTTCAGCAAAGTCATGGATAACTACATTTTCACAATTCTACCAGCCAACCTTATATTTGGGCAATTTTCAGAATTTTTTTTTTCATTTGCAGAGTTTTGGTTGTGAACAACCAAAAACACCAAATTGCCACATTTTGATATCTTTTGTGACAGTTTGTGTAATCTGTGTTTTGGGGTTCTGAAGCCACTGGTTTTCCTGATATCTGCAGTAGTAAGTGCTACTATTCAATCATTCCCTTTTCACAATGACAGCTCTGTGATCATAATTATGAGTTTGTAGTTTATAGATCTTTCTGGCTGAAACTTCTATATACTAGACAAAATTTGATTTTTTTTTAACACAAATGTGGAGTCGCCAATATTGAGTTTCTCTTGTAGCCAGGCATGTAGCCGGGGGGGGGGGGGGGGGGGGCTTGAGGGGCTTCAGCCCCCCCCCCCACCGAAATTCTCATGGTGGTTCGCGAAAAGGCCTTACTGGTGCATTATTTAAACTGTTATGTTTATTCATATCATGATCTGATCACCATACTCAATATATCCCATATGCATGGGGTAATGATACAAAAGGTTTGCTAGGCTAGACCCTCTTTCACTCAGACTCAGCCCCCCCCCAACCCCCCGAAAAAAATTCCGCCCCCCCCCCCTCCGAAATGAAATCCTGGATACGGGCCTGCTTGTAGCGTTAATGTGGAATAGAAGAAGCAATTTCAGTGTGAATTATTAATATTTCTTATCTGAGATTGCACAATAGTTTAAACTCTTGTGCTGGCTGGACTGCTGACCTGAAGACTGCTGGTTCGAATCTGTGAGATGGGGTGAGCTTCCGCCTATCAGCGTGCTGGGACATGCGAGAAGCCTCCCAGCAGGATAGTAACACATCCAAGCATCCCTAGCCAATGTCTCTGTAGATGGCCAATTCTCACACACCAGAAGCAACTTGCAGTATGTTCTCAAGTGGCTTATGACAGGATAAAAAAAGCTATATTCTGATACTGAAAGCCAACTAACCTAAAAGGAAGAGAGCCAGAAAGAGATTTTCAAAATAGGCAGGCATGGAAGGATTAAATTGCTTTCCCTCCCTTAGATGATTTCTGTCTAGCTCCATAGTTCTTGTTCTAGCTGCAAATGTTTTTGGACCCACATTTATACTTTTAGGACGATAAAGCCAAGGTCCAAAGTTCAGTAGTAACATGTTACATGTAATGGCATCATTACTTTGAGGGTAACAAAGCTTAATGTGATTGTTTTCATAATAATATATTTACTGATAGAATTTTCCATGCAATTTAATTATTGCTTCCAAAAGTCGCTTTTAGGAGGGGTGGTGGTCATGATGTGTATTTTTATTTTGTATTTTATTTATATTGTATTTATATAGGAATGTTAATATTTTTCTTTTTTTAGAGGTATCTGGAAAGTAACATTTTATGTTACACTACATAATGTGCAATTAGTAATATCAGCAAGTTACTTTTTAAGAAAACACTGTCCACAGACAAATTCCTTTTTTAAAAAATAGGGTGCAAAGTTTTATATAATTTTATTTAACACAAATTAAGTTAACCATAATCATAATTGGCTTGAGTGTTATCAGGATGTTATGAAAGTTGGAGTGATCACTATCAATTGATTGGATGCTACAGTGCTTCAGGCTAGAGGTGCCGCCCGCTACATACAAATGCATTGTCATGAACTTTGGAATGAAAGAAATAGTTTTTTACCTGTCGCTTGCTAGTCGTTCCAGCAGAGGTTCTAGCCATCCATTGTGACATTCGCAGTGGGAATCCATGAAGACCACAACTTCCCCGGTGGCTCGTGCCGCACCAAGCATACGACCTTGGATGACCCCCAGCCTTTTATTGCTTCTAATCAATTTCACACCTGGAAGCTTAGAGATGTATTCACTCAGGGATGACTTCAGATATTCTGTCAAATCAATATAGCAATGATTTGTTTGGTAGCTTTTAGTTGAAAGATGTCTTTCTAAAATACCATTATAACTAAATAAGCTCATGTTGTGGTTTGTCAATGGCAAATAAAACTGGCTCTACTGCTAGACAGAATGAAGCAGATTCCTCAGGCAGTTGGTTTTTGGTGTCATGAAAAGGCAGCCAATTAAGAAGTATTTAATTTATTCATAAGTTTGTAATTTTGCGACTTTTTTCGTGTCAGGAGCAATTTGAGACTTCTGGTGTGAGATAATTGGCTGTCTGCAAGGATGTTGCCCAGGGGACACCCGGATGTTTGATGCTTTTACCATCCTGTGGTAGGCTTCACTCATGCCCTCTGTCTGCTGGAGCTGACAGAGGGAGCTCACCCACTCTCCCCAGATTTGAACCGCTGATCTGTTGGTCAGCAGTCCTGTCATCACAAGGGTTTAACCCATTGTGTCATTGGGAAGAAATGCTTGTGGGATTTTCCAGTGCCTTTGGTATAACAACTATGCATTCAGCCGGAACTGTGAGACCATTAGTTTTTCCACTTCAGGCAGCAAGTTGCCTGTGGCTGGTCCTGATAACACACCACTATATATTTGTAAGTGTATGAACTGCCTCCAGTCACTATGTAGAAATGGAAGCTTTGGCTGCCTTGTGATATGTTAATTTAACCTCTCAACAGTTATTTTATGTGGTGGCACACATAATATGGAAGGCCATCCTCAGGCACATCTCGCTAATGTTCAAAATACAAATTTTTACTAACTATATAATTCTAAGAACTCATATTTGCCTAAGATTGAAATGGGAATCACATTACCCTCCAGATATTGCTGGAATGCAAATCCCAGCATCAGTTGCAGTGGGTTATTTGTGAAGACCATTGCCATAGGATTTGTTTCTCTTGGACTAAGATTATGGTTGCACTTCATTTAAATTGTTTTTATTGAAACTGCAGCTGTTGTTTTCATGGCCCCTATCTATCTATTTCTTTATTTTAATGTTGTTATCCCTCCTTGTATCTCAAGATTTAGAAAATGTAATTTAGCACAATCAAATACACAAGCTAGTATGAGTAGATGAGAGTTAGGTTAATGTCAATCGGCCTCAAAAGTATGGGTGAAGAACATAATTTTGAACTGAGCATGATAAAAACCAGTTTTGTCATAGCAATCAAGCTCTTGGTTTTATATATATACATGTATGTGTGTGTGTGTATGCGTGTGTGAATATTGAGAAAAATGCAAATGTTTTCAATAGTTCAAGTTATTAAATATCTGAGAAGGCAATGTGTAATTTAAAAAGGAAAAGATGTAAAAGAAACAGGAGTGAAGTCTAAGGAATTGAGATTGCCAAGAATGCATCTATTTTGTTACGTTTGTGGTTAGGCATCTTTGAGGCAACCCTGACGTATGACAATACATTTATGACAACACTATCACGGGGTTTTCTTGAAGATTGGTTTAGAGGAGTTTTGCCATTGCTTTCCACTGAATATTGCCTATGGCACCTGCTATACCCTAGCAGTCTCCTTTCCAGATACTAACCAGGATGACTCTACTCACCTTCCAAAGTCAGCCACAATCTGGTGCCTTCGCCGTATTTAGCAGGTCCTATGAACACCATGCTGTTCCGAGAGTAAAACAAAAGGCCTACCTTGTGTACTGAGGTCATCTACAAGGATGATTTCTTTGAGGAAGTCCCTTGGTGCTGTATCTAAGACACTATGAACGGTTCTCAATAGAGTAGACCAGGCTTCATCATGGAAACAGATGACAATGCTCGCAGTAGGGAGATTGGGACTAAGCTCCTGCTGCAAGCATCTGTGTAAAGGACAATATGTACAAGTGGCATTAGAAAAGGAACTCCCCATTGAAGGCAATGCAACATTGGAACAGGGCCCAAACTAGCTTGAGTATTGAAATGCTACTTTTTCGGGCTACTTCAAAAGCCTGTGCCTTGCCTAGATCTTTCGATCCAAGTCCTGTGCCAGAATGCCAACAATCAACTCTCCCCATTCTTGGTATTAAGAAGTACAAACTTAACAGCAATTTCTTGTCCTTTCACAACACCACAAATCATCTATTGTTGTTGGTTCCTTCTTTCTAACTAATGAAAGATCCAGTCTTGCTGAAAAAGAAAAATCACAATTCTTGGCAACCTGTTGAGCACAGCGTTGAAGACAATGGTGATATTGATTCGGAGTGATACAGCAGTCAAAAGATATTGCATTGTAAGGGGGAGAAAATATATAGTCTGAAAAATACAGGATTAGAATTGTTCTCAAAAATATCATATGGCCATTACAGTAATGAGTGACAGGAACCTATGGTTACTGGAGTTTGTAAAGCATGTCAGGTTTGCCAATTAATTTTCTTTAGTAACTTGAAAGTCTGTATACTCTTAAATGAGTTGGTCTTTCAAAAGGTATCAATGTATCTCTTTTGTTTTTTGAGTTTTCACAAGCTGTGCTAATTTCCCCTTTAAATCCTTAAATCTTTAATTATAGTATTATGCTATTTGGTCAGGATTATCTATAATGCATGTAAATGCTACTGCTGTGTCACACAATATTTTTGTTTAGTAGCGGTGTTATTTCTGAGCTAAGAATTCCTGGGGGCAATTTTAAGCACATTGTTAAAGACTGTATTGTCATATGTTATCCTGCATTTATACAGTAGGACAATGATTCAGATTACCCAAAGGACTATACATTTTTTTTTCAAAATTAAAGATGTTACATACAATGTTCTAGAATCTAGACAAAGTAAACATTTCTTTGGATAAAAAGAATATACTTAGAAATGGAAATATGCCTTGTGTACCCATTTTTTATCCTGTCAGAAGCGAGTTGAGGATACAGTTAAAATGCATTAAAAACACAAAGTTTAAAAAATTTGGCATTATGCTAAATGTTTTTTGACCAGAAGCTGGCCACTTGGAGTGCCTCTCATGTTGCTGTGAGAAGTTCCTCCATTGTGCATGTGGCAGGGCTCAGGTTGCATTGTAGTAGGTGGTCTCACATGTCGTGGACTCCACTTTGTAGCCCCATTTGTTAGCTCTGCTACTCGTGGTGCCAGAGCGCAGTCTGTTCAGCGCCTTCCAGGTCGCCCAATCTTCTGTGTGCCCAGGAGGGAGTTTCTCATCCTGTCTCATCCTGCCACTTTTGGATTCTCACTTGTTGAGGTGTTCCTGCAAGTATCTATCTCCATCTTAGGAAGCTGTTTCTTGATTTAAGCCATTGGCATGCTGGCTGATACCCTAACAGAGGATTGGACTACAACTCTGGAGACTAGGGTTTGAATCTCAGCTGGGTCATGGAAACCCACTGGCTGACCTTAGATGATACATACAAAATGAAACATGAGCATCATTCAAAGAAGCCCATATGCTATATTCCACACATTCAAGGAGATTCAGGATATGATTATTAAATAGCAAGCAACTGTGCCAACTGCAAAACCATTTTTAAAACAAAGGAGACTATTAAAATTCACTTGGAATATAGGATAGGACCTGGGTATCAGAATGTGGTGGTGTCTCCTTTCTCTGAAAGGTTTTAAAGAGAGGCTGGATAGCCATCCGTTAGGAGTGCTTTGATAGTATTTTCTGCATGGTAAGGGTTGGACTGGATGGCCATTGTAGTCTCTTCTATGATTCTAAATACTGAATATTTTTTATTTGAACTCAGTCGACTGCACCTCAAGCAGTGTCTGGAATGAACTGCAACCCCCCATGTTTCCTTTTTACATTTGTCATTTTCAAGATAAATTAATGTATTACAGGTTAATGACACCACAAACTATAGTTAATTAATTTATTAAATTAATTTATAGTTAGTTGTTTAAGCTGTGGCAGATTCGAAATATCGAAGATATTGTACAGAATGGGATGGAGCCACTGTTATTATCACTTACGTTTGGATGGTATCAATCTGTCTCTCTGCTTCAGTTACAAAAGGCATGTTTTAACATATGGCTCCAGAGATAGCAAACTGTGAAGCAATGAAGTGAACTACCTGATCCAATAAAGTGGGGGGGGGGGGGAACCTGCTTCTGTTCCCCAGCAGGTGGACTTCCATAAAATGAACCGGGACTTCTTTAAGCATTCCTGCTGCACTTTATAGTTGGAACTGAGGACAGAGACAGAGTATGAGTTGGAAGCAGATGGCATATTGTACTATGTGAGACTACAGTTTCATAGCAGTATTTTGCTTAACACTATAATGACCAATTAATGTCTTTCACTTGAAGTATGTTGGCTGACTAATATGTAGGTCTCTGGTAGGTTTTGAGGGAATGGATACTTTCTTAGGATTTTACCACACACACTTCAGAAAAAGCATTTGTAAGTTTGCAACTCATAATTTAAGAATGCTAGATGAGAACTAGATATCTACTCACTCCATCTCACATGCTTATTTTCTTTCCAAATCTAATAAAATAACGCCCATCAGACTTATCACACAACCAAGAGATATCTCCTCCCAATCTGTGCCATAGTCCCCTACGTTACTGTCTTCTTTTTTTGGCAGATCTTGCACAGCTACACATCTGTCCCGACTGAAAAATGCGAAAACATTTTTTGTTGCTATACAGTTGTGCAGTTCCAATTTTTTTTAAAGGAAACAATAATGGGAAAGTGGGAAACATTCATGGCTCTATTCATGGTCTTTCTGTGATTGAGAGCTGTTTTGGCAAAAGGAGAATCAATGCTTCCAAAACATGCCCCAAAGAACATGTCACTAGCACAGAAGACGAAATGCAGATGGGTCTTTCAAAACTGCACTTCTAATGGGTACGGCAAAATTACAAGTCATTAAAGTCGATGGTTTCCTATTTTTCAAAAAGTACTTGTGACAGATTATTTGTCTGATAAGAAAATGTATGCAGAATAGAAATGGGCTCTCTGCCCAAAACAACTGTCACAGCAATCCAATTCCCAGGTAAGCTGTTATTAACTGCCATTAAGCAGACTTCAACATATAATGCCCTTGTGAATGAAAGATCTCCAAATCATCAACAGGCCAGCCTATGAGTAGGAAAGTGGGGAAAAGCAGAGGGAATCATCTTCAATCCCTGTCTTCAAGATATGTCTTCTGGGATGGACACTTCCTTTCTTAGAGCCGTAGCAAACTAGGATTTTGCGAGAGCAAACTAAGCCAGCACGAGCGATGCTCCGCCTCTTTCTCCGCCTCTTTCCCTTTGCTAGGGCAGCGTTGCGAGCATACGCTCGTGCCGCAGCAAACTACAGGAAGCTTGCGCTCGGGCTTGCTCCGAAGCCCCGCCTTTTTTTCCCCCGAGGCTGCTCTCTCTCTTGCTAGCGTGCCTGTTTTCCATTGCAGAGGGCAGGGATGCGAGCGTACGCTCACAGTTGAATTCTGCCAACTGCGAGAGTACACTCGCATCGCTTCCCTAGCAAGGGAAAACAGGCACACTAGCAAGAGAGAGAGCAGCCTCGGGGGGAAAAAGGCGGGGCTTCGGAGCGAGCTCGAGCACAAGCTCGCTCTCGCTTCCAGTAGTTTGCTACGGCTCTAACTCTTTCCCATTTTCTCAGTCTGGACTCCATTTCCATGCACCGCAAAAACAGAGTCCCACAGAGTCCCACTGGAAGTGTCCTTACGTCATGTGATAACCTCCATGGAACTCTGATTGTGGTAGTCACCCTATGTCTCTCCCTCCTCCTGGCATAAGACTGGGGCAAGCAGCCCCATCCTTATGCCAAGAGGATAGCCAGAGGATGAACCACCCCCAGTCCTGCCCCCTAATGGAACTGCCCTCCTGGCAAATAAGTTTGTCCATGCCTGGTCAACACAAACAAAGGCTATGCTGTATTCTATGGAGCACAGGCTGATTTTCTGCTGAAATTCTTTGGTACTTCTATTATCAAACATATGTTTGCAATATGATTCCTAGCACCTCCTCTTTTCCTGAAACTAGATTGCACATTTGGCATTTCTTCCTTCATATACAATATCCAAATGTGATAAAAGTGTTTGTTGTAGAATTTAGAGAATCATTTTGCCTGCATATGAGAAGAATGCTGTAGTCCAGTGGTTTCTGCAAGCCCTGATGTCCCCTTCATTAGGGATTGCAATGTATATTGAGTGTTTCTGATATCGAGCTCTTTTGGAGGATCTCTCCCAGTGGGAGAGATCCCTGAAGACCGCTAAAGGGGTCCGTTGACCTCGGTGAGCAGCCAGCGAAAGCCAATCCAAAGAACGAAAAATATTAAGAATTAATCCCACCGGAGGCTGAAGAGGTTCAGTGACCGAGGCGTTTATTGTGATTCAGCTGAGATCAGATGCATTGCAGGAATCATTCCACTGCAAGCATGCATTTACAGAATTTCCAGGCATTTTTATAGCGTACAGACAAAGAGAACATTTTCAAAAAATCCCGCCCGCCCTCTGCCGGCCGGCTTCGCCCTGATTGGCTGGCCGCGGAACAGCTGGGAGGAGGCTTGACTGTGCATCCCGCCTCCTGTCCAATCAGCGGGCTCTGCCGCCTCTAGGGGGCCAATCGGCGCCTTCCTAGCGCCTCCGATGATGGTCCAATCAGCAGCCAGGAGGCGGGACGAAGTTTGACAGCTCAGGGGAAATGGGGTGCCCAGGGGGCATCCGCCAGCTGTTACTGAGCCTTTGTTCTCATCGGCGGGGTGGCAGACAAGGGGAACAATGAGTTTCCCCGGTCTATGATTGGATTTGGGAGGAAGTATGAAGAAAGGTGAAAAAGGAGCTATTGATGGTATTTGGACCTCGGGGCCTTGTAAACAAGGGGGATCAACAAATACCAAAAATTGAGTTAATCAATCTTTTTTCCTA